TGTTTAAATACCCAGCTGTTGTCTAGATGGATCCTGGGGTTATGATTGTGACTGCAGTTGACTTCAGGGAACATATATGCATAACAAGGTCCTATTTAGATTTTTCACGGAGAGATGCGAGTCCTGCCCCAGCTATGTATTTTACCCCAGCTGTCTGGTGTCTTTTTGCACCTATTTTTTTATAAGATTTCAATTCCTGGAGCTGGGTACTAACATAAGAGTCCCTAGGATTATTTTCTGCAAACGGGCCTGGTGATGGGGAGAAATGCGTGGAAACTCGGTGACATACAACAAGCCAAATCGGTGATTATTAAGGTTATCTTCAGCTTAACAACACTGCGGCATGTTTTGGTGATGCTTTTTTGAAGGCTTAGAGGTGGCTGGGCTGATTTTGCATTTGGAATCATCCCTCTTCTCTCTCTGAAGATAACATATTCCTCATCTTGCTTTGGCTGAACATGGTTTCAAATCTGAACCAAAGCAGCATTCGGCTCTCGCTGGGGCCCTGGGGCTGCATCCTGGCTCCGGGAAGCAGCCGAATTAGAGATGCCCAGAGCACGGGGGTTAAGTCTAGCTCATTAGGAGTCAAGCTCCTCTCTCAGCCTCCCGCTTTGCCTCTCGTCCTGCAGAGATCAACGGCACGCAGATCTGCCCCACGTCCCTGGTGTCCATCCAGGACTTCTCGCCCTCGGACCTGGACAGCGTGCCCCGGCTCCGCTACCTGCGGCTCGACGGGAACCTCCTGAAGCCCCCCATCCCGCTGGACCTCATGATGTGCTTCCGCCTCCTGCAGTCCGTGGTCTTCTAGCCCTGCCTGGCCCCGAGCCTCTCCCGGGACTTGGCTTTGCACAGAGACTCGAGCCCTGTCAGCGTTCGACCCTTGGGACCCTCTTTGCTTCCCTTTCCCACCCTGCTTTTCCTTCTGTTTTGCATTTCCCCCTTCTCCTTGGTGGCCTTGGCACCATCCCAGGCCAGGGCAGGTACCTGGGCAGCGTGGGATGGGTGCCACCCTCACCCTGGTATCCCGCCGGCAGAGCTCCATCGGCCTGCGGCAGCTGTGTCCATCCTGCAAGGAGCCGGGCACAGCTTCCCCTTTGCCCGGAGCCGGCGGGGGGGACAAGGGGGTCCCATTTTTGGCAAAGCCAGGGGGTCGCTTGGCCCCTCCTGACTCGCTGCGGGGCTCGGGGTGTCCCCGTGCTCCAAGAGGCCCTGATATCCCTAGGGATGAGCTGCCGGTGCTGGAGGTGCAGCAGGGCCTGTCCCGATGGGACAGGGTGCCGCGCGGCAGGGCCAGCAACGACACCTCGTGGCCAGAGCCGTGTCCCAGGGTGGCCCTGCTCCTCCCGTTGGGTCCCTTCGAAGGGACATCCCGCTAGGGTCACCCCTGGAGTTTGGACTGGGCTTATTGGATGTTGGGGAAAAGCCTCTGGCTTCTGCAGACGGAGCCGGCATTTGCTGCACGGGGGAGAGCTCATCCCGCTTTTCCCAGAGTAATTCCCCTCTTGCATAGGACCCAGCCACCCCTCCTGCCCGCTCCCGGTCCCTGTTTTCTTCCTACCAACAACTTCCCGGGCTGAGTCTGGCTCTGCTCCTGCATCCGTCCCCTCCGGGATGCAGTGCACGACTCCGTGTCCCATCCGCAGCTCCCGGCTCCGTCCGAAAGCCCCGCGGCAGCGGGCAGGCCCCGATGCTGGCGCAAATCTCACCCTTGCACGTCGGTGCCGGATGCTGAGCAAGGCGGCGGGTGCAAATCCGGGCGCTCCTGGGCCTGGGTTATGCCAGGAAATCTCCACTTTTCTCTCACAGCCCCTCTCTCCTTATCACTCAATTCCCAAAGTTTTACTCCCAATTATTTTCTTGGAGCAAGCACGTATGTCCGAGTTTGACTTTGTTTGATGAAAATGAAGAAAAAGGAAGAGTAAATCTTCCTTCCTTGGAAAAGCTTATTTTTATCCCCTCTCCTCCCCCTTTCTGCATATATTGCTTCCCTCTTTGATAGCTGTACCTGCATATATAGGGCGTCCGGGTTTAGGGGGGATTATTCTCTCTCTGTTTTTTTTTTCCTTCCTGATTCTTAGGATTTAGATTAAAAACTGAGCATTAGAGGGAGAAGAAAAAAAAAAGGGGGGAGAAAAAAAATGAATCCACCTGCACTAAGCATTAAAGCAATTATGGAGCAGCTGCCTCCTTTGTGTTCAGCCACCAAACCTGAGGCTGGTGGGATAAGCGTGGCCGGGCTCCGTGGGATGGCAGCGGCTGTGGGAAGCTGCCCGGAGCCTGTGGGAAGCGCCAGCGCTGCCCCCTTCCTCTGGGATCCGTCATTCCTCGTGCCAAGACAAGGGTGGCAGTTTGGGGACAAGTCCCTTCTGCAGCTCTTCCTCCCGTGGCTTTATTGGGTTCGACAGGTTTCAGCCTTAAACCCGGAGATCCTATGTATATATTTATATATAATGTGTATATATACTGGTAGACTGTACAGATACATCTATAGACCCACGTAGCTCCTGACTGATGGCAACTTAATGGTATTTTCACTCCTCCTCTCCGCAGTGGTGAAAATAAAATGACTCAAAAGGGGTGCGGAGCTGAGCTCAGAGCTGCTTCTCTGCCGCCTCTCACTGCCTTCCTCCCCGCTGCGCCGGGGCCCGTCCTCATCCTCGGCGGGAGCTTTTGGGGGTGATGAGGACGGGTTGGGGGGACGATGTCGGTGGCCTTGGAGGGAGCCCGGCCGGTGTCCGGGGGTGTTTTTGCACAAGCAGAGCGGGTGTAGGCGGCTGTCCCCGCGTGAGTCACCGGCGGAGCG